GATTACGCCTGTCTGGGTATGTACTCGCTACATTTTTAATATTCTTTGTTGTTAATTTACAAGTTTGTATTTTTTGTCAATACCAATAACATATTAATTGGATCTATCGAACGACAGGTCTTATTGCTATCTGGTACTATTTTAGGGGGTGCAATCGAGCGGACATCATTACTGTATAATAATATGCATATTTAGGTAATTGTTATTTCCCTAATTTCATTTTAAAAGTACAGATGATAAAAATTGTTTTTGTATAGTTATCGTTTTCTTGCAGTCTCGTAGTTAGATTGAAAACCACATATCCTGATAAGAAGCGTGCCTTCAGTTATTTTTCATAGTTTTTTATAGACTATTATTCAAAGGTAGTAAACATGTTTATGTGCTTTGGTCAAGTTTATCGGCTTTTGAAGGATTTTTGTTATAGATGCACGGCTGGAAAGACTTGGTATACATTTTAAATCAGTATGTAGGTAAGTGTCAGTCATAAAAAATTATACGTCGATCGTTTCAGAATTAACAGTAAAATATTTAACAGTAAAAGCGGCGTGTGTCTACTGTTTTCTGTGTTATTTTCTGAGAACATTGTGGTCGCTGTGTTAGTGTAAGTGTTTTCGCAAATAGTGTTTTAATCAGACAAGTAATGAGTATTACATACTGCCTGTTTCTAGAGTGTCTTCAGTTCTAAAGAAGGTAATATGTGATATACGGTTGCTTGTATTTACATCCACGCATGCTGTATTCTGGATTTTAAGATATGTGTTTTTATTTTTTCTTATTTTTTTTTTTGCACGTATTTATTTGTGACTGTAATTTACATAGTTTTCCATGTAATTCGGTATTTATTTAACTTTTTTTTTGCTCTACTTTTGCGGGTATTTATTTTTGTCAATAATTTGCATGTAGTATTTATTATATTTTTTAGCATATTACCTAAGTATATTTGTGTATTTCTTTGTAGTTCTTTATTTGCGACAGCAGTTTACATAAGTTTATTATATTTGAGCATATTTTACAGATTTTCGTTCGGTTGTCTCATTTTTTCCAAAGATTACGTCTAGCTATACTCTACTATTTTTGCACTGTTTTTACCTTTACCTTTAGCAGTATTTTTTTTACTAGTAATTTTTTTTTTTATGTATAACACCTCTTGTCCTTTTGTGTTGTTTTTTATTGCTATGATTACATGTTAAATGCTAGATTGCTTTCTCCATTTTTACATTTTATGTGTATGTTTTTGATGTTTTTTTAATATTTTTCACGACATTTACAAGGCGGCTTTGTTCTTTGCTTTTTTTTTTTTTGAGACAATGTATTTGCCTTGAGGTTGTATTCCTTCTTGTTTTACACATTAGCACCTCTTCTGTTTTAAGATATTTTGTTCGGTATATATATTTTTTTGCTTATTTCTTTGTAGGTATTAATTTTCTAACTATAGTTTACATAGTTTATTGATTGTATTTTAACATATTTCACTGAAGTTCCATCTTTTTTGTCTCGTTTTTTCAAAGATTACGTATATCGGATATGTACTCAGCTATTTGTAAACGTTTTTTTTTGTTATTTGTTAATTGTCGCTAATTTTCTGTCTCATGTCTCGTTTTTAGCATATTTCATTATGATTTATTGTATTAACTGTATTTTATTAGCTTTCCGACGGGTAGTGTTTATTACTGTTTTGCATGTTTCCCTTATAATTTTGATGATTTTTTTTTTAATGTATATTCATTGCATATCAAATGCTTTGATTATTATTTCCTATTAGTCTGTTGGTGCTTATTACTTTTTGCAGGATGCCTCTTATAAGTTTGATGTTTTTTAATGCATTTTTCATTGCATTTGACTGCTTTGATTATTAGTTCCTATCCATCAATAAGTGTTTTATTACTTCATTGCATCTCGATTTTATTTGAATGTTATTTGCTATCTGTCAGTACGTGTTTATTACTTTTTTGTTTGTTGTACACATTAGTACCTCTTCTGTTTTAAGATATGCTTTTCGTTCTTTCTGCTTCTTCTTTCTTTGTAGGGTGTTTTTTTTATTGTAGTTTACATAGTTTTATTATATTTTAGCATTTTCACGTTATATTTTGTTTATGTTTTTTGCAGGTATTTATTTTGGTAGTATTTAACATTGTTTTATTATATGTTTAGCATTGTACCTCTGTAAAGCATATTTGACATTTATGAGTGGCTTTTCAATGGTTTTTACTTTCAGCTGTACCGTGACTAAGCATTATCGTCGAATTTAACGTTGATACTTATATAGGTTTTTTTTATGTTAATTGTTTTTAAATCTATATTTAACCTATTTTGTATGAGATGCTGTAGTGTCAGTTTAACTGGTACGGATTGTTGGTGAAATATATATTTACCGAAGCACAATACCAACCTACAAATAAAATATTGCCCGAAATGCCGTAGATAAAATATAGTATTCAACTTACCATTTGTATTCGCTAATTTTGTATATCACCCGAATTGTTATGAATATGATTACGAATAAGCCTCGATGTTCTGTTGGCGATAATAACTATGCAATTTATTCGAAGTCGAATAAAACGATTTTACGCTGGTATTTCCCTCGTGCCGCTGCATATGTGTCACTAAGGCGTCTGAATGTCTCTGTTATGACGCTCTGTTACCCTCTGTGTACCTCTGTTACCCTCTGCTACGCTCTGTTTCCCTCTGTTATTGTGTCTTTGTCTTTTAAAATGTCGAACGTCACGTCACAACGTCACACGTCACGTAATTCCTACATTTCACGTCCTACGTCAAATGTCACGTCAATTCACGTGACATTTCACGTTTTGTGTCGAATGTCACATAAATGTCACGTCCTGCGTCGAATGTCACGTCCTGCGTCGAATGTCACGTCAATTCACGTGACATTTTACGTTTTGTGTCGAATGCCACATAAATGACACGTCTTACGTCGAATGTCACGTCCTGTGTTGAATGTCACATAAATGTCACGTCCTGCGTCGAATGTCACGTCCTGCGTCGAATGTCACGTCAATTCACGTGACATTTCACGTTTTGTGTCGAATGCCACATAAATGACACGTCTTACGTCGAATGTCACGTCCTGCGTCAAATGTCACGAGACATTTCACGTTCTGTGTTGAATGTCACATACCTGTCACCTCCTGCGTCAAATTTCACGACATTTCACGTTCTGTGATGAATGTCACATAACTGTCACGTCCTGCGTCGAATGTCACGTCCTTCGTCAACGTTCTCTTAGCCACTGTCCGGAAAAGAAGAAGAAGAAGAATTTCATACTGATCGTTGACATGGCTTCTGTGCTTTGACACCTCATACGTCAAAATCATGCCAATAGCAACAAAGATACATTCTAGCGCCCATTTGGCAATGCTGCCATCTTTGTTTTTTGTGTCAAAGTATTCCCCGTCTCATCCCCGTTCCATCGAGCCTCGTGTCACGTCCTGCGTTGAATATCACGTCAATTCACGTTCTGCGTCGAAATGTCACGTCAATTCACGTGACATTGTACGATCTATGTCAAATGTCACATAAATGTCACATCCTGCGTCAAATGACATGTCCTGCGTCAAATGTCACGTCCTACGTCGAATGTCACATCATTTCACGTGACATTTTACGTCCTATGTCAAATGTCACGTTCTGTGACAAATGTCACGTCCTGCGTCGAATTGACACGTGACATCCAACGCTTTGACACCTCATACGTCAAAATCCGACCAATAGCAACGAAGATACGTTTTAACGCCCATTTGGCAACGCCGCCATCTTTGTTTTGTGTCCAAAGTATTCCCCGACTCATCCCCGTTCCATCGAGCCCTCGTACGCCCCAATCGGACCAATAGAAACGAAGATACCCCATAATGACCTTTTGGCATGCTCCGATGCGCACGGCACATACTGCATTCAACCCCATTTTTTCATCCCCTTTCCATCGAGCCCTCGTACGCCCCGATCGGACCAATAGAAACGAAGATACCCCATAATGACCTTTTGGCATGCTCCGATGCGCACGGCACATACTGCATTCAACCCCATTTTTCATCCCTTTCCAACGAGCC